TTTGAGGAAGGACACCGTGTGTTTTGGATTTGTTATCCTCCTTCCCTTGGTTTTTAAAGATGTTAAACAGACTGAGGCCCCACATCTGACATGAGGAGCCCACGCTTTTTCTTCCCATTCTAGCTGTTGTGGAAGGTTCCAAAGCAATGACTGTCCCACCACAGTTGCTGTACTTTTATTTCTGAACATTGTTCAAGAAATTGAGGGATCTTGGTCCATGCACTCCTGGGACAGACACTCATATATAACCTGTAGTTTTGAGAGGTCAGTGCCTTAAGTGTGAGCCTTCGTTAATAGAGAATAAAAATCACTGGGCAATTCTTTAATTTCACAATCCTTCAGGGGGAAATTCCTGAATTGCCTTCTTCATAGGTCTTCATTAGGTCCTCAATGTATACAAGTTATTTATCGCTATGTAACAAACAGCCCCTCATATTCAGTGCCTTTTAAACAGCGTTAAATCTCACAGATTCTCTGGCTCAGGAGGTCAGAAGTAGCTCACATGGGTGGTCTGTGTCTGGGCTTTTCCTGAAGTTGTAGTTAGGATGCTAGCTGAGTTATCAATTTGTGGAGACTTGGGGTGAAGCTGAGAGATCTGTTTAGCTTACCCTTGTGGCCCCTGACCAGAGGCTCCAGCTCTTTTCTGATGAGTTCATCCACAGTTCCTCAAGTATCTTCACCACCTGGCAGACCCTAGAGACCCAGAGTGAGAAGGAGAGAAACACATTTGCTGGGTGCTCTGTTGATCAGAAGTCAGTGTGAATTCAGCCAAGGACAGCCTTCATTTAATGGGAGAAAAAGCAGGCTTGATACTTTTCAAGGTATGGGGTAATTTAAAACCTCTACAGTTGCAGTGGGCCTAAGTGTCCACAGTGGCAAACTGATAAATAGTATATCACTGACCTTTGCGTCTGCCTCGCCTCATTCCTTCCACGCTGCTTGTGTCCTTTGGATCACATCCTACACAAACAACCTGCACAGAGCCCCGGTTTCCATTCTGCAAATGAAACGTTTCGGACTGAAACAACACAGCTCTGTGAGATTTAAATATTTGCAGTATTCAAATTTTATGGAAAACCAGTGTGAGACATCATCTGTAAAGAGAAGTTCATCTTAGGCATTTAGTTTTTATTCATTTATTATCACTGAGACAGATTTAATGATTCCTTTTTGTCTAACATACCTTGTCCATATGTAGTTTTGCCAGTCATTTAGACAGTTATTTGATTGTAATCTCAAGAGACTTAGTATAATAATTACTATATTGAGATATTCTCTTCCTAAACTTCATGCATAATCAATAGATAATAAATAACAGAACTATTTAAGGTGAAAGTAAAAATGGTAAATTTAAAATGGCTTTTAAAATTCTTAGTTGGGTAATACTAATAAAAGCATTACCTACTTTACCTATCAATTAAAATTATACACCATGCATCTTACTCACAGTAATAATGAATTTGAATTGCACATTTGACTATTGGGATCCCACTCTATCATAATTTTTACAACACAATCAAGGAAACGTAAAATAATATGTAAAAAGTGTAGAGGATATGATGTGCTTAATTGAATAGTGCAAGAATAGTCATAATCTTAATTATTTGTTCAGCATTACTTTTTTGTTTGTTTTTTTGTTTGTTTGTCTTTTTCCTTTTTATCGGTGCCAGGGATCAAACTCAGGACTGCCTGCTTGCAAGGCAGGCGCTTATGTCGCTGAGCTAAATCACCCCCACAGCATTACTTTGAACAAAACATCCACATCATCTTGGCTCATCTAGGATGTTCAATTTGTTAGAATGGTCACAGTTATCAACCAAGAGTTTCTCTAGTGTTCTTCAGATATTTGTTAGTTAATGATATCAAAATATCTATAGAATAATCATAAAAAGAAATAAGGTAGTGTCATATATCTGTGATTGTTCACATGAAGGAAAAATTGGGATTTTACTGACATAGATAAATTGTTTCAACATTTTAGATTCAGTTTAATTGTGTAGAGTATTATCAAGGATAAAAAGGTCAGTCCACCCAGGTAAAACACATGAAGAAGATGATTGTGTTTGCTGTGTTTTGTGTCTGACTATTCTTCACAACTATCACTACTTGCATAAAAAAGAAACCAATACGTGATTTATTTTTTACCAATACATGATTAACAAATGGACGCAAAAGTTATATCCAGGGTGTAAGCATTCCTAATTGAAAGATCTTTATTTATATTTAACTATTACTGATTATTTTTAAAAGAAAGTGGCTAATTTTGAGAGACATATATCAATTTTTTATAAGTAAAAGTACTTATGTTTACTTATTATTTAAAAAGGAGTTAAGTTACAGAAAAGGAGATAAGTTGCAGAAAGAAACTGAAGAAATTTTTGAAATTTTATGAAGTGACTTTTTTGTATGTGTCCAGCAGTTGTTAACAATTCCATTGTGTTATTGAGTTCAGCAAATTTCTCAGTGAATGAACTTAAAGTTTCTGAGTGTTTAATATTTTTAAAAGTCATATTTATAATGTGGCTTCCTCCTAGGAGAGTATTCAAGTACATTCTTCAATTATATTTTAAAAGCCAAGTGAATAGCATTAGAGAATGCAACTGTATTTCTTTTTAATCAAATGCAAACATTTCAAAGGCAAATAAGAATTTAGTGAGTGTATGTAAGTTAAATTAAATCCCACTAAAATTAAATGGTTAGATATCCAATCTGAAGTAGAAAAAGGTTTTTAAGTAGAATTCATTATGTGGGATGGAATTAAATTTTTGAATGTTTATTATTTCTCAACAATTACATGATACCAGATGGTATTTTATCTGTTTAATATGATGTCTGAAAAATTCCTTTGTTATATATTGCATAATTTAACTTAATATATGAATCAATTAGTGATTTGCCCATACATCTGATCACGGACAGCATGATCAATAGGAGGCATGATTATGATTTTTCTGTAAGGAAACATGAATAGATGAAGAAAAATGTAAGGATAGATTAAGAAAGTAAAAAATGAATTATCACAATGTTGTTCTTAATAAACAAAAATGAAAATAGTCATATTAAAGTAGCAGTAGTAATGTTGAAGGAAAGAGATGGTGACTAGCATCTAGAATTTTATATGAAGGCATGCAGGCCCTGAGATTATCAGAATACGTACAATGTGAACAAAATGATTATTTTTCTAATTTATCTATAACACGTAGAAAGATGGTATCTTCCAATCTGAAGAATGAAAGGTTGTATTTTTCAGGTGTATCATAGTGACATATATATATATATATATATATATATATATATATATATATATATAATTTTTCTTCCTTAGATGCCTACCTGTACTTTCTAATCATTTTTGTGAAGTTAATGTACATAAGTGTTCCTCATCACCATATGTACATGATGCAGTGTGACCATCACATGAATTCATGTATTTGCAAATGTCAACAAGATAAATATAGCATGTCAAAAATGATAAACATATGGTGTAAATTATATAACATATAAGTTTATGTGTATAAAGCAGTTTTCAAAATCCTTTCCATCATTAGTTTTGTTCACCATCAATCAAGTTCTAAGCAATGACTAGGCGAAAACCACATAGGATGTAATAGTTCTAGCCACCTCAAAAAAAACTCTAATACTGTGTTAATCCAGTTTGCTATATGATTTGTTTTACATTGCTGTAAGCTTCAGATTTCTGCTGTTTATAATACTCATGTCTAGTTCACAGTAAGTCCTTTATAAATGCTAGTTGTTACCTAATATTACAAATATTTTTCCAACATTTTTGACCTAGAGAACAATAAAGTGACTGAAAGAGTTGCTGGCCCAGACCGGACACTTTAACCAGGAGAAGCCTCAGCCAAATTAAGGAGCTCCTGCCTCCCCCGCCCCTTAGAGATTTACCTGTAACCCTATACCCCCATCGCTAAGAACCTGCCTCTGGTGCCAAATGTGTGCCAGTGGGCTACCTGTGCATCCCTAATGCCCCTTGGGGTCCACCCCAGACAGAGGCTACTTATGGGCCTCATTCCACGTGTTAGAATGTGTGTTCCAGAGAGAGACCGCCGGCCCCGGGGTGGAGATGCTGTGCCCAGGGGGCCGGGGGTTCTCTCCCCGCATTCCCGAAATAAACGTTACTTATATTTTATATTTCTTATCTTTGCATCCACCGCCGCCCACTCCACTCCTTTCACGGCCGTCCACTCCTTCACTCCTCCCACTCCTTCCTTCTTTCCCCATCTCCCCTTCTCAGACCTAACAGTGACTTTGTTGAAGGGATAATTGCTGCTAAAGTCAGAATATTTTTGTTGCTCTAAAGTTCACATACTGTAAGGTAGTCAGTAATATAATAGGATTAAAGATTTGGAGAAGGCAACCAAGTCAGAAGGGTGGAACTCTCATAAATAGGATTAGTGCCCTTCTAAAAGAGACCCCCAAAGAGCTAACTGGACCCTTCAGCCAGGTGAATCCACAGTCTGAAGGCCACCATAACAGTAATGTGGCAGATCCTCACTAGATGTTGAATCTGCTAGCAAGTAGCACTTGGAGCTCAGGCCTCAAAACTATAAGAAATAATAAGTCATTCGATGTAGGATAATTTTTTACTAAAGCATCCCTGTATGAATTTTAAAAAGTCATTCACAGATAATTGAGGTTCGTTTGGCTCTTTCTCCCTTTGATCATACGCTCTTTCTTTATGATCAGCTCTTTGGTATGAACAACTTATTTCCATGACCTTTTCCTCTCTTCCCTTTAGTTCTCTACATTTTCAGACTCACCTCTCTCTCTATGTCCTCTGTCATTCATCTTCAGCATTGCTTCCGCCCATCCAGCAGGGATGTAGAATTCCTGAATTTCCTTGAGCAGCCGTTATCTCTGAGGAATATATATGAGGAATATTTTCAGCCTCTCAAAAATAATGTTCAATATTTACGCACCCCCACAGACCATTTTATGTAGTTGTAGATACCTAAGAATTCTAGAATTCTTGTTACCAGGTCCCCTGAAGCAGCGACAGCCACGAAATCAGGGGGAATATTACAGCTTGTACAATGTATGTAAAGTCATACAAACTACCGCCTAGGTGCCAGGTTAGTGTTACTCACAGGATGTTTTCAAGTTTAGTGTTTCTTGGGAGCCCAGTTCTTTTTTGAACTCTTAGTATTAGTACCAGACTTTACTTGGTCACACGAAACATCTAGAGATCATTTCATCTGGATTTTGAAATAGCTACCTGTAAATTAGACTATCAATTTGGCAGTAAAAAAATAATTAAACATTAAAATTTCAGATATAAAGAATGCATGTCATTTCTATAGTTTGGCATCTTTCAAAAAGAACTATATTTATCAAGATATAAGCATTTAAAACCCTTATAATTTTGACCATAAACAGTTCAAAAAAGTCTTATAAAAACAGGAAATAAAGTGCCTATACGCATTGTATTTTACTGTAGAAATACAGGTCTTACAATTGCTCATTTCATAGATGTTCGTGTTTATGAAGATCGCACTATTGTGAGGTCAGTGTTGGTGCTGTAAATTCAGATCCAGCTTCCTCTGACTTCACTTAGAAACTCAGCCCTGTCTGAAGTCTCCACAGCACACTGATGAAGCCTGCACTGACTGCTGCTCACAGCTTTCCAGCCCAAGGCAGAAGACCTGGGAATTATGTCCCCTGGTATGGTGAGGTGTCAGAAGTTGCAGGTACTTTTGATTTAAGTCTTAGACATTTCACAGCCTAACTCAGGAGCAAAAGCCCACCAAGGAACACATGAAACAATAAATTCCTGGAAAGTGCTGTGGACACTCTTCCAGCCCTAGTCCCTGCTCCCAGAGGGTCTCATTAGCCATGGCTCTTAATCATGCAACCTGTTCTATTTCAAGAGTTACTTAGGAAAAGCAGTAATCTCTATCCTGCAGACTCCTTTTGATCCACCCTGGCACCGTGTGTCACAGAGCTGTGCAATCAGGGTGTTTTATGCCAGAGTGAAGCCTATTCTCTCCCGAAGGTTCTGCAGTGTTGACTAATGCCTGAGTTCGCAGAATCACTCCCAGCTAGTCAAGTTACCATAGTGCCTGAAACGGGCTCTTGCTTCTCTTTTGTGGTGAACCCTGTCCTCAACTCCAGAAGAAATTGATTTTGACAGACTCGTAAGTTTGCATTATTTCATCCTTAAAAATCTGACACTCATTTTGCGTGTATTCATAATTTTGAATGCTGAGATGGAAAGACTTTGACATATATGTGCCTAAACAATAATAATATTCATAAAAGCAATAGCAAGACTAGGACAGAAACCATGCTAACTCATATGTACTAACTCACTTGTTTTCCTTAACAACCTTGAGAAGAATGCTTCTCATTTTTGTGATTTCATTGTATTGAGAAAAAGAGGCCCAGATCCTGGCAAACCTGCAGCTCATATCCAAGAACTATGGAATGAGCACTCATCTTCTTCTAGGTCTCCCCAAATGTGTAGTAGACTGAATAACAGATTCCTCAGTTATGCAAAATGAATCAAGGCTAAAGATTCGCTGTAAAATAATTGGCCCTATAGTCAAAAAGTTTTATATAGGAAAAAGCTACAACATTAAAAAATACTTCTCCCCAATGAGATTATCAGTGTGTTATAACATAAAACAGACTCTAGTCACTGTGAAAATTCTGCATCCCGATCTTTGCCCACATCTATTTGAAATTTCCCTTTAAAGCTTCCATGAGCAAAATTTTAAAACTTTCCATTGTCCTGAGCACTGCACAGGAAGTTGTCTTCTTCCAAATGCAGTAGAAAGACAAAGATTGACTCATTTGGTTAAGCTCATGCCCATTTTTCCTTGCCATCCATAGAAATAAGAATATTAAATAATACTGATATTTCTCAATGGTAAAACTTTTTTTTTCTCTTTTTTTTTTTTGGTCTTTTTCCTGTTTTTTTTTTTTTTTTTTTTTTTTTTATCAGTATGCGGGATCGAATTCATGACTGCCTGCTTGCAAGGCAGGCACTTATGCCACTGAGCTAAATCCCCAGCTGCTCACTGGTAAAACTTAATATTGATAAGTCTTTAAAATCACTGATAACTCTTTCTTTCATTTTTTTTTTTTTTTTTTGGTCTAAATCATGCACTTTTGCTTATCTTCCATGCGTCGGACTGCAACCTACCTTGACTAGGCATTATTCTGTTTGTCTTTAAATAAAACATGGAGAATTATTGCTACTGTCTGTTTCCATCAGTTGTCACAATCTTCCTTAAATTCAAATTATTTTTCCAGTTATCAAAATTTTCTTGTAATCATCTAGCATCTGTTTTTCCCTTTGATTTTGTGACCCTGAGTGGTGCCTCTGTTGTTCCATATATTTCGTGATTTCTTCTTTATTTACTTTTCTTCTCCTTTGTGGCTCAAAAAATTGCATGACTCCTGTATTCCTGCAATATTCCAAACAGAGCACAATTTGAAAAAATAAATACTTCTTGCCCCATCTGGAGTATCTGTAACACACACAGATTTAAATTGGATATAAGTGGGCTAGACTACACCTTAAATAATATTAAAGTTTTGTACTAACAAGTCTTAGCAGAAGTTCAGGGTATATGCAGCCTGAACTGAAAACATCACTGACGTATGATGTTAGCCAGCACTGGGTAGTTGCTGACAGGGCGTGGTTAGCATGAGGACTAACTTCTTAAGCAGACAAAGCATGTACTCTGTTCTTGTTCCAAGCCAACAGGTACAAGTGGAGCGTGGGTTGGATTTCTGACCTCATCCTTCCTCTCCACATGCGTCTTCACACCTGTGCGGGAGTGGCGTACAGGGCCATCCTTATCACAGAGCTCATCCTGTGTCAACTTAGCGGACTGCACTCATGGGTTTCCTGAATTCATTTCTATCACAGTATTAACATAAGTATTTAGTTGTGTTTGCAGTGATCACAGTGCACATGTTTTTGTTTTAATCTAAGTGGTCTAATTCATGCTGATTCAGCATAGTGCTTGTCCCTCATTATGAGCAAATTAGGAGTGAGGGAACAGTCCCTGTGCCGTTCACGTGAGAGCTCACCCCAGAGTTGCTCTGCATCCCGGAGCTGTCATTTGTGTAGGTGCCTCTCATCCTGGGCCTGGGCGGCGATGGTGCTATAAATCAGTGATGAGGGAAGTTGCGGATATATCTCCTGCTTTAGAGGTGACCTCATTGTTTTTGAGGCAGAAAACTTCCCTGCCTTTGGGGTATTGTCCTAGTTACTTTTTACTTGTTGCTGGAATAAAATACCTGATGCCCAAACTGAGGAAAGGAAAGGTTTATTTCTTGCAGTTCTTGGAGGTTTCAGTCCATACTCAGATGGCTCCAAGTCAGGGTAGCATGTCAGGGCTGCAGTTCATGGCAGGGGGAAATCAGCAAGAGAGAGAGAGACACACCTTCTTCCCACCCCACCCTTACATCATATCCTGGCTCACCCCTAGGTGAGTGTGGCACTCACACCACCAATCTGAGCACTAGACAATGAACCAATCACAAACAAATAATGCATGAAGCTTGGGTGCAACTGACAATAAACCATGGTTCAATAAACCATGATAGGTGTGGAATCAAAAACAAATCTGAGTATTATCTTCTATCAGTGACCTGGTCTATTGAGGGTATCACAGTCATGTTTAGAACCAAAGAGAAACAGAGTAGTTTTATTTTCTGTCAAGAACCATGAGAAGCGAGTTAATGTTTAACATGAAACAATGCTTCTTGTATATGATTATATTTTTCAGGACAGTTTAGATATATAAAGCAATTCTCTACATATTCTGGCCTTACACTGGAAGAAAATAATTGTCATTATGTTATCCAATTACTAAGTAATAGATTAACTAGTAACACAGTGTTATTCTGGCTTTAGGTTTAATTTTATTTTATTTTCCCAAGATTAGATTCAAATCCTTTTGTACTGAATGGGAGAAAACAATGAAACAGGACATATACAGTAATTCTTTGAAACAGTGACTTTCACTTTCATTAAAACCTCAAACAAATGAACTACCATGTCACACCAAAGAATGGACATATGTTTCTCATTATGAATACTGATGTAGTGAAAGATTTGTCTTACTTATCAACTTAACATTGCTCTAATTGTCATTTTAATGTGCCATCTAAAGTCAGTTTGTTTTGCCTGCATTATTTGGCATTGTTTACTCTCTAAGCAGTTATTTACTTTCTATTTTGTGTTAGATGCTAGAATCATGGTGTAAATTTAGCACCATACTCATTTAATTACCCACTTTATGGACAGCTAATGGTTTCATCTCTTGTTTTGAATTGCCAAACAGTATTTTTTGAATATTTGATTACCTTGCTGCAACTTTAACTATGCTCTGGAGATTTTTAAAAATCTTGTGCAATAGGTATATCCATTTGCCTGATTTATAGAATTCTTAACATTACTTCACAACACACTTGTTTATGCATCTATTTATTTATGCTTTTATTTTTGGTGACTATCGTTTGCACTCAGCATTCATTCCTGCCTGTTATAGTATCCTGTACTGCAGAAGCAGTGAAGTGCAAAGATGCATTTCTAGATGCTCTTGCAGATGAGATTGTACGTATAATTGGATTTCACAAACAATTAAGTATGCCTAAACTCCAAAGACACTTCAGGAGACTATGCCAGAATGTCATAGTAGTTTCTTGTGTTACAGAAAGTTGTGGAAAGGTGTGGTTTTTGCACACATTTGGTACTGGTGGGAGGAGCAACAGACCTGGCCATCAGTGTACAGTCAGGAACCTTAGGAATTGGAGAAACAGATGTCACGGTGCTGACAGCACAGAGGTGATCTGATTTGCCTGTGTGATGCAATGAGTTCTTCAACCCCAAGTTTGTGGTGGTGGCTTTTCTATCTGTCACTCTCCTGATCCTGTGGGTAGGGGTAAAGTCTTATCTGTAGTTGTTAGTGTTTAATCCTCAAATCAATTTACCCATCATTTTGTAAGCTTCTAATTCCATTACCAGCCCCTCTTTGACTCTGCGTAGGGTAGATTCTGTTTCTTATGCATCCCTAATTTATCTTGTGTCATACTTTGTGCCTATATTCCCCTCCATTTGACCAAACTTCAGACAGCTTCTTTCTGACTACAGCCACTTTATCTCCTTTTTTATAAAACAGTTGTTTTAGAAAATTTAATGTTTAAAGTATTTTCCTAGCTCTTGGAGTTGAAAATTTTCTGCTAACTTATAACCATTACAAATCAGAAACATCTTTGTCAGGATCTCGGAATCATTCTTTTAAAGTATAAGTCTAAAAGGCGTGGTGCCTATAGCCTAGAGGTCCAGAGCACACACGTTGCTTCCATAGGAGAAAATTGCAAACGCAAAGAACCTGACCCGATTGCCTGCCCAGCCTCCCCTCACCTGCGTATCCCGTTTCTTTCCACTTGCTCACTCATTTTTAAATCTTTTTGACTTATTGGTTTCAGTGGAGTTTGAGTCTGAACATTCTTCTCTATTGCAAACTTCTCTCTTCTAATGAAATATTCTTGGATAAGGCTTTGCTATGCCTTTTTTTTTTTTTTTTTTTTTTTTTTGGTCTTTTTCCTTTTTATCGGTACCGAGGATCGAACTCAAGACTGTCTGCTTGCAAGGCAGGCGTTTATGCCGCTGAGCTAAATCCCCAGCCCCTGCTATGCCTTTCATAGTATTAGAACAAAGAGAAAGCCTGTCATTAAATTGCTTAAAATGCATTTAAAAACTTTATTCAATCAAAAAATGCACAATACATGTCTATTCCACAAAAACGACATACTAAACTATGTGTACCTACCACGTACTTCAAGAAATAAATATTACCAAGAATATCACCTTTATCTATACCCTATTCAGAGCACATTAATATTCCCTCAACCTGAAGTATCTATTCTGAATTTTGTATTCAAGACTCCCTTAATATTTCTTATAGTTTCGTTGTATGTGCCTAAGAGATGTTATGTTCTGTATGTTACTTTTATAAGAACTGCTATCACAGTGTAACTATTTTTATGGAATATGCTTTTATGATTAAGAATATGTTTTTGATCTTCAACCACCTGAATCACTGCGCTCAGTGACTTTTTATAAGCTCTGGAAATCTGTTTTTCTGTATCACCTTTCCAAGCTTCTGCAGTGAAGATCACTACAAAATCAAATCAGCACATGAAAGACCGGTGTGAAATACACTCTTGGAAAAGGATTTAATACATTCAGTTTTTTTTGGCATCTACATGTAAGTTTGATTTGTAAATTGCCAAATACTTACGTTTGGGACTTAGTTTTTCTTTCTATAAATTAGAATTGCATCGTATCTCAAAATACTTATTTCATAACTCTCCTAATTTATCAGGAAAGAACAACGAGAATATAATTTGAAGTAGGAACAAAATATAATGTAAGGAGGAAAAATACAAGTTTAAGTAGGAACAAGAAAAAAAGACTAAAGTTCTCAGTAACCGCTATTCATATTAAATGTTATTGGACAATCAACAGAAAAATGAAAAGGTTCAGAAGCTGTGAGACTGCCGAGTTAAGAAGGCGGGGGGCAGTCAGAGGTGCCGCTGCACACCTGTTTTCTTTGTGAATGGTTTGTTTGGGTAAATAGCATGTCGTGCTAAACATGCTAAACATATTAAAATTTATTATAAATAATTGCCCATTGTGAAAAAAAACAATCTTTTAAGAACATTTACCTAATATGTTCTCAAGAATCCTTAACTGATATAGTGGAGACCTTAGCAATATTGGCCGCAAGGGTGAATGACAAAATGATCACTAAATAAATAAATAAACCACTGACATGCAGACGGTGCTGTAGCTATGAAAAGTTAGACTGTATGTAAGGTCTTATACCTGATGGCCAGCTACACATAAAAAAGCTATTTGTATTCTGTGGAACCAATACTTAAAAAATATTAATTGCAATATTGCAAATATTAAAAAGAAATATCACATATCTAACTATCTATGGTGTTGATTTCATGCGAATTCATTTTATTTTATTTGGTTTGACTTGAGTTTAGGACTCACAGAACCCACAGGAACTAGAAATATGAAATGTATATATTTGTCATCTTCCATATATTTCACTTGAAGTTAACTAGAGATACAAGGATAAGAGTTGAAACTATCTCTCATACCTGTACTTTATTCACACTAGTTGTGTGATTTTATAGAAAAATATTTAATTATCTGAGTTCAATTTTATCATGTGCTAGAAATAGATAATAACATTCTACAAAGATCCCTTATTGTCACAAAGATCAGATGCTAACAAATATAAAAAAAATCTATTTACCATCATCGTTATCATGAGAAAGTAAATGTGTGCTTTGTGGTTTTGTTTCACAGGGTGATCTGGGCATTGACAGGATTGAACCTGAGTCCACCAACAACTCATAAACTCAGGATATGCACAGGACATGAGCCTGGCTCTTCATGTTTGCACACACCCAGATTTAGAGTAAACACTGTATATTGCTTTTTGTTGTGATAACTGGCTTTGCTAATCATCTTTGAAGTACAGTAATAAACAGAGTATCATATGGTGAGAAATGGAAAGTGGATTTTCGGTGATTGTCGCCCCCTCTGGCTGTGACATCACCATGAGTATTTCCTCCACCTTTTAGGCTGTTCATCACTTTCCCCCTCAGCCCTTTCTTCAGGAGAAATGCATTCTAATAAATTGGTCTGTACTAGGATGAGAGTAAATTAATGCATTGTCCTGAAATCTTAATGCATTTAGAAGGAGGATGCCAGCAAGCAAATTGCTTCATTCAGTCAGGATCTTGGCAGAACTTCCATCTTGCTGACGGATGCAGCACTGTTCCCAGGGCTGGGCTCAGAGGACTGCTGTGTCCTAGGATGAAGATTCTGCCTCCTCAGCAGGTTTGAACTGATCTGAACGCCATTAGCAACAGAATAGACTTCCCGTCGCAAAAATGACTCCATTCAAAGACAGTTTTGAGCCACAACCCTTTATTAAAACCGATCACAGTGCATCAGTATAGTAAGGAAAGAGCAACTGAGGAGACTGAGTTCTCAGGAATTTTAACACATATTTAGATATACAGTATCATTGATTGATAGATCAATCCTAGGTAACATTAAGCAAGAGATGGTAAAGTCAGATGAAACGGTATGAAAATAAGGAATCAGATCTGAAGGGACTGTGAGCTTGGCCAGAGTCTGAGTACGAAACACAAGTGTGGAGGGACCTAGAGACTCCTCAGAGAGGGAAGAGCAAAATAGTCTCTGAAGTGTTAAGGATTGACTGGAAGTGGTCTATACCCGTCCCCAAACAGAGCCATTTGGGAAAGTTCTGGGGGAAGGGTTCAGGCCTAATTCAACCATTTCCTTCTCAACGCTATGCCTGAGACTCAGTTGTCTTAGAAGAAAATGAGTTAACTCAGATTTTCCTTTCTCCAGAAATCCTCTGTTCCCTTTCTCAGTGAAATTGTTTTCTCTTAATCATTCCAGAGGGATAGCTCTTTGAGAACAGATTTCAAACAATCTGATATCTCAATGTGGAAGGATATAATGGCAAGAAGTTAATTTCTGAAGCTTTTGATTATATCAGTATTTGTTTCCTTAAAAGTCAGTGAAAAAAGACTGAGATATACCTCTATTTAACTATCTACTGCCAAGGTGATCAAATATATTGAAATCCAAATTACTTAGAAAAGTAATGCCCAGTTCCAAAATCATATACTTTTGTACATACAAATATTATGAGCAAAACTTCCTTCTTAACACTTCTTAAATTATTAATCTACTAGCACACGTCCTTTTAAGTTTAACTATGACTCTCACTAGTACTTGCTCTGTAAATAAAAAATCAGATGTGGAAGATAAATACATTAGTATATGTTGAAAATATTAGTACTTTTAAAAATAAGTGTTTTATAAAACCACAAATTCATTAGATGGAAGAGTAATATGTGAATCTAAATTTAATATATTGACTAAATTAATTCCAAATGGGTAGTTTTTATAACTACTTTTTCAAACATATAGATAGCAAAATGAAACCTTTTAGTATACTAAATAAGCAAAACAGTCTGTGTAAAAAGTTATAAAACTCTAAGAAATGTTCAAAATTTTATGCAATAATTATGTGACAAGATAAATAATGATAGAGAAAATCTGGTTTATTGAAGATATTGACATTGAAATGTTATTCATATCGTTAGTTTACAGGAATTCTAACTTATATGTTCCTAAACTCTTAAAAAACGCATGTAAAATATTAGTAAAATGTGAATTATTTTGCTGAAAAAATATTAAGTATTCAACTTTTTCTTTGGTAGAATAGTATCAAAGTTTATAAACATTAAAAAATGATGAAATGGAAACCTGTTCTGAAAAGAGGCATGAAAAATGCATTTAAAAAGGGTTACAAAATTTCTGAGATCCCCTCTCCCTTTTCTAGTAATCATGCTTGTAAATAAGATATACAAAGAATCACAATGGTAGGAAAATGTCATACTTCATTAGTTGAAACTGAGTGACATTTTCATTTCAAATTTTTCGTGTTTCCATCTTTTCTCTTTTTTGAAAATGGCAGAGATGGCTTGCAAATTCTTCAAACACAAGCCATAACCCAGAAAACTTTTGGTGGTTTTAAGAAGAAAAGGACATATAATGATATTTATCAAGGTTACCCACGGGAAACCAAGAGTGGAGAAACGAATGAGATGCACTTGGTTATTTGGAGCTGCAGGGTCAGCAGCACCTAATTCAGGTGGCTGGAACTGCTGACTTTGATCCTTTGTTCTCCTGTTTTTTATATCCATGTGCAGATTCACAAGGCCAGAGGGCTGCCATGCATACCACTTCTTACAATGTCATCATTACTTTGGAATGTTGCAAGACCTTCTTGATCATCTAGTTAATTGACACACAAGAGGTAGATATTGGGATGTTTGTCTACCTTGAGATAAGACCATTTGCTTCCTTTTTTGTAGTTTATGGCCAATTTAGTATAGACAAAAGGCCTATGTTTGGTATTTGGACAAAGTTCACTCACTGTTTAAAGTCTAACTACTAGCTAAGCATCTAAGCTATCATTTATAGCCCATAAAATAAGTGAATCTTTATGATTAGGATGTGGTTTCAAAGAGACAAAAGCAAGAAAGAAAGTAAGTATTGAGGTTATGAATGCCCTAACACCCTTATTGGAAGCTCAGTGACTTCTCTCCAATAATATCTATGAGAACCTAGCGGGACTCTTGGTGCTGTAACTGGTGAGTGTGGGAGCTCTCTATGTCTGCAATCCTTTGGAATTTTTAACTATAATGTCTGAGGCTCCAGTAGTTCACCAGTTACAGTTGATTGCACTGCTCTGGCACTGGATGTGGCAGTGATTTCCGTTCTGAGCAATGCAGTCTTATCTGTCAGTCTCTCCAAGTATGGGCTGTGGTTTGCTCCATGGACTCAACTTTCTAAAAGAAGAGTCTTTGATTTTCAGTGTTCTCAGTTTTTCTCTTTTTTGAGAATAGCAGGGATAACTTCCAAATTCTTCAAACACAGGACCATAACCTTGAAAACTTCTGGTTGTTTTAAGAATGAAAGGACGTGTAAAGATATTTAACAGGAAAAACAATTGTTCTTTCATTCATGTAATTCAATATATCTTTGGGAAAAAAAGATTTCTTCAGTTTAATTAGACTTCAGAGGTATGTCACCTTGAATGATTGTCTAATAAGCCCTCATAAAATTGTTTAAAAGACATTAATTTGGATGGTAGTCAGATTCTTCATTAACTCGTAGCAAATGAAAATTATAAATCGTCTGTGCATACACTTGAGGTATACCAGATAATACCACAAAAAATGTAATCTAAGAAAATGGTATCAAATATTTCAAACTGAGTATTATTTCAGTATTAAATTGCTGGTTTATGTGAAGCAAAGCACAAAACCTTTGCCAGAATATCTAGTGATTCTCACATTAAGTCTCTGTATGCTAACTTGAAATTCCTTCCAATATTATTCTTATTTGCATAGACCTTTTAAAAAATGACACTGTTCACATTGCCCTTATTGAAGCTATTTTAAAAGCCCCTCATTAATTAGACTGTCATATAAAACTGTTAATTCTTCTCAATGTTTATACGATTAGAGAAGTTTAGTGTTACCACAATTAGTATTTGTTTTATAATGAAAGAATGACTTGGGAAAGAGGATAGAAAGTAATTTTTTCCTTCATTTCAAAGAATTAATTTTTAGTTGATAACATCAAAGAACAGAACTCTGGAGTGTTTCTTAATGTTTTAAACTGTTACAGTTTCTGACAGGTTAATAATTAGTGCGGATTATTCTTTTGAGCAAATCCAACTGCAAAAACGAATCAAAGTTAAAAGGACTTATATTACTCAGAAATTTAAGTGCTCTCTAAGAGAATTTAAGGAACAGAATATAATTTACTAAGTGTCATAGACATGTAAAAAATTCAAGACAAATGATCTTCCTCTTTTTAATTTGATCAGAGCTGTTCATTTCTTTCTCAGCAAATGAATTTCCACCAAGAAAGATTGATCTCTACACTAGTATCTACCACTGTCATTGGTCAGGATTACTTCATTTTCCAAATGATATCGGCCAATAAATGTGTTGATTGCATTCTTTAGATTAAAACACAGATATTCGTGTACTATGGAAGCAATATTTAGAGTAAACACAAAAGAAAAAGAGAAACTTTCTGACTATAAAAAACATATTTAGTTCTCCAGCAGTACATTTAGCTTAAATGTCATCTTTAAAACAGAGTCACAAAATAAAACACAGTATCACAATACTGAGTCTTTAATGTTATATTTGTCTATGCTTCTGGGTTTATTTCCTCATGTTGTAAAGTCATCAAACTTGTTAACAATTATTACTCCCTGTTATAGTTATCAAAGTTTATCATCTCTATAGGAAATAAATGAGCAAGATGAAATTTTTAAACATTATATAAAAGAACATATTGTTTTTACTTTTAACATTTATACATATTTGAATTAAAGTTATTGATATTCCATATTAGTGTAAAACACATTCTTTGGACCTTCAAGATAACAAATCTTGAAAGTCTCACAAAGAAATACATAAAAATATACAGTTCTTACATTAAAATTTGAAAAAAAATGAGGAAAGCCTCTTGGATCTATTAAAAAAACAACAGCATAAATGTTTATTTTCAATGAGATTCTATATTGTGCTGTAACATATATTTAGCACTATCATTTATAGATCTTCATAATAATATAAAAATTCATTCATTTTAATTTACCATCCGCAGTGGTTATTACGGTATGTGGAGGAGGAAAATATTTGGGAACCGTAACAGTGTTCAAGGAGTCGACAGCCTGCTATGCGGGTAACGGAGGAAAGAACAGAGACGGTGTCTGTGTCACTAAGACTCAAACATAAAAAGCCGGTTGGCAAACTGTGTAGAGGAAAGACAGCGCAGTTTCTCAAGG